AAACTCTAACCATTTTATTCTACATAAAAAAAACAACAACAATAATCCAAAATCTTCATTTTCCTACTAAGCAGCTTCTTAAGCCTAACCTGAAAAACCCTCAAAACCAATAGATTTTAGGAGAAGACAACCCACAAACAAATATTGGTCCTTACTTCTAAATCTTTTAAGGAGAATGGAAACCAACCTCTTTTAAGTTTAAAATGATTTATTTAACACAAACACAGCAATGCATAAAACTCTAACCAAACTTCTATTTCTTTCCAGATCTTCACATAAAACCAGTTTAATTACTCAAATTTGCCCCTCTTGGTTCTCCTTCCCCCCTTCTTTTCTTTTCTTTTATTTTTTTCCTTTCTAATCTCTCTTCTGCTCTTTTTTTATTTTTTAACCACATGTCCACTATCACAAAGTGTTCCAACAATTTGTGTTGACTTCCGAAACAAATTTATTTTTTTAAGCTAAAAGACCATTATGTCCCTTTTTACCTTAACTCCACAATATCCAAGGTTTTTTTTTTTACAACTTAAATGACAAACATGTCCTTGCAAAATATTACCTCCTTTTTAAGAATTTTATCTTCGAAATTCAACCACAAGAATCAGTAGAACGACCAAGGGTACTAAATATGCATCTGACGTTCACTTATCCAAGCTCCCCTTTCACTGCTTCGTTTCTACACCAAAACGTTAATTAGAGGAATATTCTTATTTTGCAACACATAAACATGAAACACATAATAAATTCTTGAAAGTTCTCCTGGCACGCAAGTTGATATACTACTAATCCAACATGCTCAAGAGTCCTTTATGGACCTATAAACCTTGGGCTCTTCTTTTCTTTTTCTACCTAAATTTAGTACATCCTTCCAAGTTGACTATTGAGTAAAACTTTCTCACTATCATAACTTCGATATCTTTCTGACACTTAACAATATACACCTCTGTCAATTTGTTACCATTTTTCACTTTTCTTACTTACCTTAACCTTTTCTATAGTAACTACACAAGTTCTTAACCTTATTATTTTTCCATCTCTAAATGACGTATCACAACAAACTGAAGTTTGATATTTCCCTTTTCCATATCGGCCTACCTGTTGGGTGTGTTGCCCTAAACTCATAGTTTGTATTTTGTGTAAAAACAAATGTATATTCAATAAAGCTTTATTCAATAAATTTATTGTTGGATTCATAGCATTGCATTGTCCAAAATCAATAAACTAAACATCCGAGGTTATTTTAGTGTAACCGGGATAGTATATGTACTGGGTATATATTTGATATACAGGGTATATATTTGATATACCCCTGATATACGAGGTATATATTTGATATACCCTGATATACAAGAGGATAATGTCCCGTGAATAACCTTAAGGGTCTATACTATATGGATAAGGTCGGGTACCTTATCCTGGCAACACTATGGATACGGCCCACCCTGTAAAGGTTACAGACGACTCGATCCAGGTCGTTCGTGTGGAGACATGCGAGTGGGGGTATCCTATACAATGAGTTTGTATAAGACCGGACCACGAAATAGCCAATCTTTAGATGTAACACCGTTAACTAATAGATTGTTGTTTCTTAGGATGACCAGGCAACTCATTCTCAATCCTGAGTGAGTTATGGACTCCTGCCTGTGAGGGCTCGTCCTTTGATCTGTATGGGTGAGAGTGGCCCAAGTTGTCGACTCAATATTCCTACCATTTTGGGGACGAGACCGAGTGGGGAGCTGGGAATATAACTTCACAAGATGGAATTCACTCATCTCCGACTTTAGGGGAGTAGATGAGTGTTCCCTTAAATGCTAACTTCGGGACTTGAACAAGGGGTCCCACCCTCTCATTGGCCCGAGAGGGACTTCCGGTTATTGGTCGGACCATAACCGGGTTGTTCATTAGAGGAGCAGTGGTATTTAAGGAGTAAGATGTAACTCAGGGGTAAAACGGTAATTTGACCCAACTTGAGTTACGAGCACTCGTGAAGGATTGACTCGTCATTAATGGTTGTATATCCATGGACACGAAAACATTCTGTAGTGAGAAGAGTGCAAMTGCGGGTCTTTAGTGGAATGACWTGTAGTTAAYKAATCTTGATTAACTCGRTCAATGAGTTTGACCGATTAATCTTGCATCGTTGGAGCTTCTGATCTGTAGGTCCATTAGGTCCCCTTGCTAGCTCATAACGGGTAAAACGAGGATCAAGTTTTTGGAAGAATTTGAACTGTTCAAATTTCATAAGGGATTATATGTATATTGATACATTATAATATATAGTTAATTTTAAATTAAAACTATATATTATGAGAAAAATTATTTGAATGTGATTCAAATAAAATTAATATGAATATGATTCATATTAAAATTATAGGTTAAAAATAATGTGCAACATTACAAGTATAGGTTATGCGAGAGAAATGTTTTAGAATATGATTCTAATAAATAATTAAGTGTTAATTATTTATTTGATTTATATATATATTTATTAATTAATTATTAATTAGATTAATAATTAATTATATTTATTAATTAATATGATTAATTAATAAATTATATATATATATATATATTATTAATTATTAATATTAATATATAAATTAAAAATTGCAGGGGAGTGGCAGTTAAGTGACGTGGGGTAACTCCCCACGTCACTGCTTTTGTGTTCTTCTTATTGCAGTTCGACAAAAGAAAAATGAACTGAATTGAACAAAAAAGATAGAACTCTCATCTCTCTCAAGCTCTCTGAATACTCCCTCTCATTCCAAACAAGGTGCTCCCACAAGCACGGTCTCGAGACCTAAGAGGATAGCGAGGAAGACTCGGTGGTGGTGTTCGAGGGGAATTCGTTGAAGAAAAGTTCTTCAAAGGTATGGTTTTCTCCTGTGTTTTTTCTTGTTTGCATATTGATTTTGTTTCCCAAATATCACGAACAACGATCCCTTTCCGCTTTGGGATTCACATCCCTTCACTACCAATATGTTCTGTCAATGATACCTTTTTGTACTTTTTAACCCAAACTTGATCATTTCTCACTATATACTCTCTTCACTAACCACTTTTACTTCTTTCTTTACCTTAATCAACGTTGCATACTCAAGTTTAGCTTCTACAATTCTATTTTTAAAAATAAATCTTATTTGGAAGTGGGCAAATAAAACTCTAAACTCAACAATTAGAATTCCAGCTTAAATAACCAACTATAACTGTAACGCCCCGCGTTCTCTGACTCGTTTATTTTCAGAGATAAATAGTGCCTTGGATCTTTCCCTAAGTTGATAACTTTAATTCTTGGATCTTCTAACTTCGAAATTCTAATTTTCGGCTAAATTAGAATTAAGTTTATTTTCATTGGATTAAGATAATTTAAGTTCTCGACCTGTGTAGGAGATTTTTAGNATCAGGTACGATGATTTCTGACCTCGAACTAAACTGGGAATCCGACCTATACTGACTTGATCGTCGGAGTGCTCACCTTTTTGTGCAGGTCCGCCTAAGTATTCAGAGGGGTCCGGAGGCCGGGTACGAGCTGCAATCTGAAATACATTGTTGTGCATATCCTTGCATAAACAAGTAAAAAGAACAGAAATTAGGAAATTAAAAAGACAGAAAAGTAAATGCATGAAATTAAAAACAGGAAATGTAAAGCAATTGATTGATTGGTTGGTTGGTGGGGGAGATCCATATGCGAGAAGAGCAAAAGGAAGGGGTTGCTTCCGCAATCTTCCTCCTGAGACGCAACATAAGTGGGCTCATCCTCTTCTCCCGACTCGGAGCTATGCTCCAGCAATGATGTCATGGCGGTAGGTGTTGTATAAGATGTTGGGGCAGCAGGCTGGACGATACGAACCAAGACAACCTTGAGCTCTTGTTCACGCGTGTTGAACCAGTCTTAGAGGGCACCAACCATCTGCTTGAATTCGCTAAGCTCCGAAGTAATGTTGGCTTGCTGCACCATCATTCCAATTGGCTAAAGCAACTAACTAAAGAACATGAGAGCATAAATGATACTTAAGAAGTTGTGTTTCGCTACAGCCAAAGTGTTGTCTATCTATCGAAAAATCAAACATACCATGACAAGACAAAGCATATTGACGTGAGATACAAAATTTTCAGAGATATAATTGCTAAGGGAATAATTAAGTTGGAGAAGATAAGTACTGCTTCAAATACAACAGATGCTGTTACTAATTCATTGCCTATTGATAAACTTTGGGAGTTTTCTCACAACGCTTGATGTTTTGCCAAATTAAGGAAGGTCAGTTTAAAATCATTGTTACGAGCAATTTTTTTTTTTTAATTCAACATGTGAGATTGGGGATCCAACTCATAACCTCATGGTTGAAGGTATATGTCAATTACCGCTGATGAACTTCTTGCTTTGACATTGCTACGAGCAAGTTGATATGTCTTAAACTATCAAGGTGGAGATTTGTTATTTGTGATGGCTTATGCGTTTATAATATTCTTTATTGATGTGTCTTTATAACCTGCCAACTTGGAGCATTTGATGATGCTCACGTGGATTACACCTAATGCTATTGATGTGTTTCTCTTCTATTTCCGTTTACTTTGAAAGCTTGTGATTTTGTTTCTTGATTGGGTGTGCTGATAGCCAACCTTCTACATCGGTTAAAATAGATCAATTTTGTAAAGTATTATTTATTTTTTTATTCAACAACATATAGAGCTATATGAAGATTCATATGATATTTTGGTGGAGTAGGTATGTCTTAACTCATTGAACTATTATAACATCTTAATATTTAGAATTATGTGACCAACTTGAAAGTTTTTTAAGATGGATAATCTGTAATATCACAAGTTTTAAGTTATTTGATTTTAGAATTTTAATGGTGTCTTTGAACTTCTTTCCTACAATAATTATTTAATTTAAATTCTTGAATTTTCTAATTTCGAAATTATAAATGGTGAATTAAAACTTGAAAGTTACGAAATCGCTAGTGTAAATAGACAGATAAATAAATTAGTAAATAAATAAACCTAATTTCTTCCCCATCTTTTACCCCTTCTCTCTCTGCAACCGAGCGGCCTTCCCATTTGCCAGCCACCCCTCTCTACGGCGACCCCGTACCCACGGCGGCGGAAGTAGTGGCGCAGCCGTTCTCAGAGACCAACGACTCTCGCCGGCGGCCCGACTAAAGACCCGCGAATAGCAGCTCACGAACCCCGGTGGCGTGACTCGAACCTGCGGCGAGTTCCGTGCGACAGCGTGACGAGCAGCGGTGTTGAATCGCGATTCCGGCGCCATCAGCAACGTTCTCCACGGCGGCGCGGCGTTTCCCCCACGAAATTGCAGCAGTGTGACGTCTCCTCCACAATCGCACGACCTATGGCGTGGTGGCTCTCCGACGACCCTCCACGACCGGCCGACACGCTCCACGAACCACGAACGGCGACGGCACTAAACAGCCACCGGAATCCGACGCCCTGCAGCACTCCCTTCGACGTGAACAGTAGCAGATTCGCGAAGACGTCTTCATTCCGATATATTTTGGCATTGACCCACACCCAAACGAAGCTTGATTTGAGTTACCCATCCCCTCCGACACTGTTTTTACGTCGACCCACTCCTTACCCAAGAGGTTTTATGGTGAGATAGTAGGTAACGGATCATCTAAACTCACTTTCGATGCAAACTAAGTGTTTCTAANCTCCACGAACCACGAACGGCGGCGGCACTGAACAGCCACCGGAATCCGACGCCCTGCAGCACTCCCTCCGACGTGAACAGTAGCCTTCTGGTGAAGTTCGACGCTGAGCCACACGAAGCCCAATCTATTTACCCACACTTGTTCGAGCATAGATAGGTGTTACCCACCCCTCCTAATGTCGGACCAGCGAGTTTGAGCCTTTTCGAACTCAGTTTTGCAGCGTCGGGCTCCTTCGACATCGATCCACTCTTAACCCAAGTGGTTTCAACTTGAGTTAGTAAGTAATGGCGAGCTTAAACCCAGTTTTGAATTCGATATAAGTGTTTATGACTGAATTCTAACTTGAAGCATAATTTTATTTGTTTTAGGTATCGGTTAGATAGAGTTTGGTAGAGCGGCAAGACCTTTTTGTAAGTAGTCCTTACTTGAGGGGAGGGGATGATCGTTATTTAGTTGAATTGTTTGTTGTCTGGTTGTGGGCCTATAATTGCATTTTGCTTGAATGCTTGTGATTGTGGTTACTTTACAAATATTACTATGTATATAATCTTGAATTAACTGCTGCATGTTTGTTGCCTGATTGAGTATATCGTGAGCTTGTAAGCATGCAACTGTGATTGGCTATGTTGAGATTGTTCGAGTATTCTGCTTTGATGTTTTTATGGAAATTATGTTAAACGTTGCAATGTTGTGACTATTTGTGTTTAAGCTATGCTGGCCTTGTTGTGGTTTGATATTTCGTATGAACTCTTGAAAGTATGGTGTTTGGATAGTAATCTCGTTTGCAAAAGCGTCCTGTCTATTTGCTTATGTTAAAAGTATGTTGAATTTGTTGGGGAACATATATGTTTGGTGCATAGGATATTGGTGTTGTTGTGTTATACTTCTGTCAGAATAGGTTTTTTTGTCTATTGTTGTTTATTCGAATTCGCTCTGCTTTGACTTAAACAGGAGAGTTATGTATTGCTTGTCCACGGACAAGTTGTTTCACTTATTTGATAAGTGAGCAGTTCATAGAGCAAATAAAAAAGTTGAATTTTCTAGATTATGTTAGTGTCTTTATGGCTTGGGAGAAAGTTTGGATCAAGTAGGGTTGGTAATGTTAGTTGTTGAAAATCCTGAGACATTACGTTATGCGAAAGTTGGTAATTTAAAATTATTTTTAAAGTTGCAAAAGAAAATTTTACCTTTATATCATTATTTTTAATTGATTTCTTTAATATATAACCATATTCATCAATGCAAGTAATTTGTGATCTTTTTCTTTTTCTAGTTCAAAATTTGGTGGGGATTTAAAAGTCTGTTCTTTCGGAAGGTAAATAATTATTGTCAGCTACCCTAGCTTGGTGGCATGGCTAAGAAGGAAAAGTTTTTTGTTTTAAATAGTACATATTACAATTTCTTCTCTTCTTAAGTGTATTGTCAAATAACCATCATTAAGGGCTTCCATCGATGTTTTCAATGAACAGGGGAGCTGATTTAAAGGCTATCAAGTACAAAGTGTGAAAAATTATACCAGGGTAATTTTTTTTTAAATGAAAAAAAAATCTTTATGGGAAGTGTAACTCAATCCTGCTCTAGAAAAACTTCTATGTAGAAATCTCAAAAACAATTAGGGGCGTTTATTTCGTGGGAATCTAAGATTTCCATTGGACGGACGTCTGGATTTCCACGTTTGCGGGAAATTTATGATAAGATGTCCGAGTATCCTAGGATGCCCGTACAGGAGGCATTTAACCAGTTTTGATGCCCTTTTGAAACGTGGGTATCCAAGATTCCCGTGTTGAGGGCATCTGCTCTTTACACTTTTTGCCCTTCATTTTTTTCCATATATTTTCTTTCATCAATTTTCTTTATTTTTTCCAAAAAAATTTTTATTTTGATTTTTAAAATTTATAATTTAAATAAATTAATGGACTCATTGTCTAATAAGCAATTTTATGCAATTAAGTATATTTGTACGTTACATTTATATATAAAATAAACTGCAATTAAATTATATAATATCTGGATTTATTTTTAATATTTTGAATGAATTATATTATTAATAATATTTATTATCATAAATATATAATTTTAAAGCAACAATTTTTTGACAACCAATATAGCTGTGATATTTTTTCTCTTAAAAAAATATAATATGATGGTAAGATAAATAAATTTTACCCAAGATAATACCAGTGATATGATTGTATTTTTGGAAAAATATTAAAGTTGAAAATGAAATATATATTGAATTAATAGGAATTAATTTGTTCTACAAAACAACATATAAAAAATAAAATATTAAATTAATTCAAATAAATCTATTATATTAAAATGAATTTATAAATTATATAAGTGTTCGTGAGGCCATTTTTGGAACATTTTATAAATTTAACACATTTCCAAGAACAAATCCTGTAAAACAAACGTGGGTATCCAAATATTTTCAGACATCCTTGATAAATTTTGCTACGAAACAAACATGAGGTATCACTAGATGTCGGACATGTACATTCCCGAAAAACAAAAGGTCTCTTACAAGATTTTAGTGGGGTTCTACTAAAGAACATCGTAAAATACATTGGATGAAAAAAATTGTATATGCCTAAAGAGATGGAGGACTAAATTTTCGCAATTCCGAAGGCTGTAACTAAGTCTTTTTAGTAAGTGAGTGAGATCGGACATCTAAAATTCCGGGCATCTGAAATTCCAGGTAATCGCTAGATGTCGGACATGTACATTCCCGAAAAACAAACGGTCTCTTACAAGATTTTAGTGGGGTTCTACTAAAGAAACATTGTAAAATACATTGGATGAGATGAAAAAAATTGTATATGCCTCAAGAGATGGAGGACTAAATTATCGCAATTCCGAAGGCTTTAACTAAGTCTTTTTAGTAAGTGAGTGGAAATTAGACTAAATCCTTACTTCAATCTATAAATTTTGTAAAATTATTATTTTTCCAATATTATATAATTTATAATATATATTTTACATTTTTTAATTTTCATAAAAACTAAACGATTTTTTATCATTTTTAATATAATTCTCCATTTTAATATTTTAATTTTAAAATCTGAAAATGTTGAAAATATAAAATAGTTTTGAAAAAGTAAAAAATATATTCACTAATTCCAAATGGATCTGAAAACATGAAATTGCATGAAAAACATGCCATCTTTCTTTTTCTTTTTATTTTGTTTGACGAAGATGCCATTAATTTCTTGTAACCAAGAAATACGAGTGTCTTCCCAAAAGTATACAGTAGACAGCCCGTCTCAGTTCGTCAGCTTCTCAAGACTCCGATTCCAAATTCCTCTCCCCCTCTGTTGTGTGCCGTTGAAGGGTTTTTTTTTTTTCTTATTCAACTTTTGTGTTTGGTGTCAATTGTTTTGCCTATTGTTCGTTGACAATAATGCCGCGATTTTGAAAGTTGCGAATTTCGTTGATATTTTGTCATTTTTGGTGCAGAAATTGATGGGTGTGATCACTATTTCAAACCATTGCTCCAATTGCCTGGTTAAATTGAAGACGAGCCTTCCAGTATCTGAGGCATCGCGTCGACCCAATTGCCCAGTTTCAGGGAGAAGAAAGTGGGCTGTTGCTATGACATCTCAAGTTCCAGTGGAACATGTCAGTGAGAGTCAATTAAGATTGACTGGTGACTCGTTTATCCGACCCCACTTGAGAAAATTGTCTCCTTATCAGCCCATTCTCCCTTTTGAGGTACTGCATGTTAATCATTTCTCTAGCGCGTTCATTTGCATTATTATGTTCAAGTATGCCTAAAGTACTCTGATTTATAAGTGTTTTTAGAAAAAATTTTGCTCTTGACTTGAACTGCCTTATGAGAAACAGCTTGCAGAATGTTTTTGACCTAAATGATTGTTAGGGAAGTACTTTTGCAAGTGTGAACCAAACATCGAAGTGATTTGTCATTAATCACTTTCTATTAAAGTGCTTATATTCAAATTATTATTCTTATTGTTACTATTTTTGTTATAATTGCTTGTTTTAATAGCACTATCAAACACACGATTTGTGCTCCTCCTTCCCTTGTGGTTGCAGAGTACTAGTCAAAGGTCTATGTATGAATTAACATAAAATAGACGTCTAAGTAGAGGTTCTTTGTTTCCTCTTCATGGTTTGTGGAATTACATTGTGAGCTATTCTGTTGGTATAATGACTTAGTTGAAGTATAGTTACGTTGCCAGCTTTGAACTTGATTCTACCGATGTTAACTTCAATTTCTCTAAACTGGACAGTTTACTCCTGCAAAAGTGTGACTTTTTTTATACTACAACTGGTTGATATATTCGAAGGATTCAAAATGGTTCTACATATTTTTGTTGCCCGCTTGGAGTGTTCAACCTAGTCAAAGGTTGATGTTAACGAGATATAGACGTTAGTAGGTTCTTTGTTTTCTCTTAATGGTTTTCAGATCACATTGTGAACTAATCCATTAGTAAATTTTAATGACTTTCTGGAAGTACTGTAACTAGGTTCGACTCAATTGTACCAATAATAACTTGAATTTCTTTAGACTAGGGAGTTTTTACTTTCACAAAACTGGGGTTTGTTCTATTTTACAACTGGTTGACATATCATAAGCTTTCAAGATTGTTCTAAATTTTTGTGGGCTGTAGGTTTTGTCATCGCGGCTTGGAAGGAAACCTGAGGATATTATAAAATTAGATGCGAATGAAAATCCTTACGGTCCTCCCCCTGAGGCAAGTAATGTTCCTTGCCTAGTAGATAGTGTATACAAGAATCTTGCTTTACTTAATAATTATCAAATCTGTTTCATAAAAAAATCTGTCATGGGGAAGTTATCTTTCTTCATTGCGCTAATTAATTATTAATGTTTCATTTCTATTATGTCAGACTATAATATCGAGTTGTTCTTAGGTTCTTGAAGCGTTAGGAGCAATGAAATTCCCATATGTATATCCTGACCCCGAAAGCCGTCAATTGCGTGCTGCACTTGCCATAGATTCTGGCCTCGAATCTGATTACATTCTTGTGGGATGTGGTGCAGATGAGCTCATCGATTTGATAATGCGGTTGAAACTAAATCATCTATGCCTTTGTTTGTTAGTATTTAAATTTGATTTCTTTCTTTCCCATAATATTTTCTTTATTTTCTGAAATATTCTTGCAGATGTGTGTTGGACCCCGGTGATAAAATTGTAGACTGCCCTCCTACCTTCACGATGTATGAATTTGATGCTGCTGTTAATGGTGCTGTTGTCATTAAAGGTAGTTATTTACTTATTTATCATATATTATTTTCATTTCTTCCCTTTGAGGAGTAATCTCTAATCTTAAAAAAGTCACTGTATTTGCGCCTTAACGGTCTGTCATTTGAATCTACTTACCTACATATATGTTGCTTTCCTCACATACAGTTCTTGCAATATATTTAACCTATATGGTACTCTGCAGTTCCAAGAAAGCCAGATTTTTCCTTGAATGTGGATCTCATCAAAGATATTGTTGATAAGGAAAAACCAAAGTGCATTTTCCTCACATCTCCTAATAACCCAGATGGGAGGTAGTTCTTTGTCTGCATCCTTATCTGTGATCTTGCACACGTTTTTACCCAACTATTTATACACAAATGCTCTACATGATTGGGCACGTCATACCTGCTCATATGTAGAATGCTTGTGTTCTTGAGTCGAAAGCTATTCTTTTAGATATATATAGGAGCTCGATTATGCTCCACAGTAACCTTCATGGACTTGGGGTTCTCTCTAATCCTCTAAAATAATTCAGAAAATTACTGATGCAGTGAAATACACTGAAAAATAGAGCATTTTGCTCCATCCCAGATCACCTTTTTTTTTTAAATCTTTACAAAATTCTAGCTGTAGAGGATATGAGGATTTTATAGGGAGGTTTACCTCTCTTTGGCGGGTGTCGATGTCTAGAGAGTTTTGTAATTATCTCTTACTTTCCTTTAATTGTTAGGCATGTGATGTGATGTTTTTTAGTATGGCTCTGTTCTTGTTGGGCTGTTTTTCTCCATATTCCTGCCATATATTCTTTCATTTGCTCTATGAAAGATTGATTTTTTCATTAAGAAAACCAAACTATTTTGCTTAACTCTTGAACATGTTGAACTTTCTATCCTGAGTCGTATGTTTTCCAACCCCTTCTTCTAAGACTTCGTTTTTACTTACATGTTCACAGTATAATTAGTGATGAAGTTCTCTTGAAAATCCTTGAGCTGCCCATACTGGTTGTTCTAGATGAGGCCTATATTGAGTTTTCTTCAGTTTCATCGAAGATGCAGTGGGTGAAGAAATATGACAACTTGATTGTTCTTCGAACATTTAGCAAAAGAGCAGGTCTATCTATATCTTCCTCATCTTTTCAACTATTATACTTTTGAAGGACGTTTACATGTTTAACTAATATGCTACTTCCTGTCCAAAAAAAAAAAAAGAAAAAAGAAAACTATATACTACGATTACTCCCATTTTATTTGATGACCCTTGGTTTTATCGAAGTGACGAGATTTGGTGTCATATCTAGTAGGTTTGCCATAACATGTATATATTTTGTTAATTTGATTTAAGAAACAAAAAGTCCTAGAACACTTTATTTGGTACATTTCCTAGTATATGCAGATTCAAAAATTTTGTTTGGACATGGCCAATATTTTATTTGTTTATAATCATATAACATCATCATTCAAATGAGATGGTGGGGGATATCTGAGTCCTGCAAGCATCAGCATAATTTCTTATGAAAAACACCATATCATCATGCAAAACTAGGAAAAATGTGTAAAATCCCTACCTTCGATTACAAAATAGTCTCGTGTTTTGTTAATCTCGGTTTCTTTTTCTTGATGTTGATGGAACTTTTATCATATGTTTGCTATCAAATTGTAGATGTTAAGCATATTTTATTTTATCTGTAACTAAGCATTGACTGTTGTTATAGACTTCAATGTGATAGGAATGCCCTTTCCCATTAGGTAATTAGGGATATTAGTAGATTAATAAGTGCATATTAGTTATTAGCCAAGTTATTGGTGATTGATAAAGGGGGCAAGAGGAGATGAAGGTAGGTAATTGTTAGTGTGGTTCAGACTAGAATGATCTCAAGAGGGGAGGGTTTAAGTACCTCAAATTATTTGATAGTTATTGTAGTTCTATTTTTTATATTTTAATATTATTCTAGTTGTTTGGGCTTTATCACAGTGATAAACATGTACCAAAGAAAGAAAGCAGAGGGGAGAGGATTTAGGGGATTCAGATTATTCCTATAAGTGGGTCCCAACTTTGTTAATGGGGCATGTAGGAATTATGTGAGTATGTATGTTCGTGTATAGCTAGTAGGGAGGTTTCTTTTGGTTATCTTTTGGCTTAGGAGAGACGGGAGCTCTCGAATTCACCGTAGTTTGTTCCTCTCTTGATATCAATACGAATTGGTTTCTATCAACATTGTAGCCACTATTTTTGTTGCAAGTTTGCGGCTATGCTCTTCTTACTGATGAAGATTTGATTCGTTTTTTTTTTCCAACTTATATTTTGAATGTTTTTTTTTATGAGAAACAATTTCATTGATATTATGAAATTACCAACAAAAATAAAAACGAGGAAACCCGGATCCAAGGGAGTTACAAAAAAAACTTCTCCAATTGGATGAGTGGAGAAAAGCTATAGTAGTGGAAAAGTGGAGAATAGTTTTCTGCAATTGTATCCTTGGCGACTTATTAACAATAGATTTACTATTCTTGCAGGCTTAGCTGGACTTCGTGTGGGATATGGAGCATTTCCTTTGAGCATTATTGAATATCTTTGGCGAGCAAAGCAACCATATAATGTGTCTGTTGCTGCTGAAGTTGCTGCTTGTGCAGCATTGCAGAACCCATCCTACTTAGAGGTTAACTTTCGAGATCAACACTGGTTGGCTGGATTTTATAGCTTCAATGGTGAACTATTTCCATGCTTGATCCATTTCTAATATGAGCTAGCTATGTATCCTGCAGAGGGTAAAAAACGCTTTGGTACAAGAACGCGAGAGGCTTTACAATCTTCTAAAGGACGTGCCGTTCTTGACTCCGTATCCTAGTCACTCTAATTTCATTCTTTGTGAGGTAACGTCGGGAAAAGATGCGAAGAAATTGAAGGTAAATTACTTTCTTCCTGTGTATAATATAATTAATATGTTTTCCAACATTTAAAATTTATATCTATGTAGCCAAATGATGTAAAATCCTGACAACGTGCACCTTGAGAAGAATTGAAAAATTAGCCTTCGGTTAGTTAGAACTAAACCAAACATAATATGATATAATCATAGATTAATAATAATTAAAAAGTTACAAAAGTTAGTTATTATATAATAAATAAATAATTCTAACAATAATATTTACTGTATATACATGTATAAAATCAGTTTAGTTATAATAAAGTCGATATGGTTGATTGAATTGAACTTATTCAATTTAGTCCGGTTCAATGATTTGGTTTAGTTTCTTAACCCATTGTAGGACATTTTTCTGCTTGCTGACTTTTGTTCTGATTTCTATTTGCCCTCTTAAGTCTCGTTCTGACACAAATAGTCACCATGATATGCCTAACTAAGTGTCTGGGAGCGTATTCTCCTTTTTACTCCTACGATAGATGTTAACCAGCGGTGGCCTATAGAAAGAAAGGTTGGACGTATGCCATGGAGTGATTTTGCAGTTGAGAATAGTTTTGTCCTTCACTGATTTCCTGATTTATACCGTTGGTAAAGGATTTTAAAAGATTAATCTTCATGCCTCGTATTCCCTGAGAGAGGCCGGGGATATTATTTAGGCTCTCTTTGTTATCTTCCTATGAAAATGAGGTGTATCATTGCCAACTCGAAGATGATTTATGGAAATTGGGAAAACTTGTTAGTACAGAAACCTTTTATAAGGCAGCTGTAAGAAGTTTCCTAGTAAAGACGACGAGAGTATTAGCTACTCAAAGAAAAAGGAAATCGGAGAGAGGATCACCTTGCCTTCATTATTTGAGTGGCTTTGAAGTGTCCACAAGGTTTGGAATGATTTCCCAAACAGATTTCTCATTGCTTTCTTCGAGCCACTTGTTCTTACTAATTAGCCTTCATTTTTTTGTTGAAAATGATTTCGTCAAGGTTAGCTCTTACCTGTGTGTGTTTCTTGGGGAACACGGTACGTTGCATCAAGTGTTGTAATGGAAAATTTGTATTTTGTAGTATTGTTTCACTGAGAAGATGGATTGCTAATTTTTTTGTTGAAGCCTGTGACCTGACTGCAAAAATTTAAATGTAGGAGGACCTGGCAAAAATGGGGGTGATGATTCGTCACTACGACAAGAAAGAATTGAAAGGCTATGTCCGTGTGACTGCTGGCAAACCCGAACATACCGATACTTTGATGGACTGCCTTCGATGCCTATCGTAGTCAGTCAATCAGTCCCATATATTGGGAAGTTTTAGCATCCAAAGGATTTGAGGTTCACCTCTCATATCACTTTGTTGTAAAACATGACATTCATATTGCTTCTTCCTTTTGGAGAACTCAAGAATCAGTTATGAGGAAAGGCAGAGTAGGACATTGGCTCTTGGGATTTTGCTAAACCAGAAAACAATTGTTTGCTCATTTTGTTTCTTTTTTTTTTTTAACTAAATTTGAAAATGTTCATAACCAAGATTTGTTTTGAGTGCAAGAGGTCAAGTAATTTTAAGTAGACATTATATTTAATTTTTAGTTGTTTTGAAAGTGAAACTGTAAGTTAGTCTTTCAATTTGTAGTGTTAGTGTCTATTTAGTTTATATTTTAATTATATATTTTTAAAATGTTTCAATATATTTTTTTCATTCTATTATTGGTTAAAAAATACATCTGGTTTCTGTATTCACTAAAGTAATAATTTAATCCCTGAACTTGAGTTTGTAACGATTTAGTCTCTGTATTTTTTTTAAAATAACAATTTAGTTCCTAAACTTTAACTTGTAACGAATTAATTCTGTAGTTTAAAATGTGTAACAATTTAATCCCYGTCGTAAAAAAGTTTATTAAAATTAAACGTCAAATTTTATCATATAACAATTTAATCAATTTAATTCATAAACATATTTGGTTCCTCTTTAGTTTATCAATCTATACATACAAGAAACTTAATAAAAAAAAATTCAKATAATGATTAAATTGATACCAACTTTAAAATACAATAACTACATTGTTACTAAAATTGTTACTAAAAGTGTTTTTTAATCTCAAATAATGAATTATATTTTAAAATATTTATTAATATTAATTAATAACAATAAAGTAAAATATAAATGAATTACAAGTTTTAGGTGAGTTCTATTTTATTTCATTTAAACAATTGAAGTAAATATGGGCTGCCATCATACCAAATAAACTTATGATTATTTACATTTTTGGATTTTCAGCTTTAATATAGAAATTTGTAATTTTAGAATCCATATTTTTTACAARTATCGAAACTTATGATTATTTACATTTTTAGATTTTCAGCTCCAAATAATGATTTTTGTCTCCAAAATACTCGTAATTAATATYCTCCAGTTACATTTATTAAAATTTTAAAATGTATTCTTTCCTAATGAATTATTAGTCATTAAAGGGAAAAAATTACATTTAATAATGAATTATTATATTTTTCTAGGGGCGTTTGATAACTATTTCGTTTTTAGTTTTTGGTTTTTAACAGGGTTCTTTAATAACCGATTTAATTTTTCTTTTTTTGGATCTTTCAAAATCATTTTGAAATTCTATGTAAATTTCAAAAACAAAATTAAAAAAATAATTTTCAAAAGTAGGTTTATGTCTTTCACAATCYGATTTTTTCTGGTAATTCTCAACTTTTCTTTTATATTTATCTCTAAAAAAATTATCCCTCGTTCTAAAAATAAAATTTTCATATTTTGAATATTTATTATTATTTGTCTCTCTCTCCAAATTTTTCATCTCTATTAGTTTTTAGTTTTATTTTTTTTTCTAACGGATCAGTTTCATTTCTCTCTCTAAAAATTTAATATTTTTTGAACTTTTTTCTCTCTAAAATTTCATTTTTTATAACTTTTCTTTCTTTTCATAATCTATTTTTTCGTCTGAAAATTATATCTTCTTTTCTCGTTAAATTCTGTAACTTGTATTTATCTCTRTATTTATTTATTTTATCTAAAAATTATATTTTGAATCTTGTTTTTATCTCTAAAATTTTTTCCACTATAATTTTTCTTTTTCTTTCTAATTTCGTTTTTTTGTTTTTGCTTAAATATATCTTTTCCTCTCGACTTTACTTTTTTTTCATCTAAAATTTTTTTGTCTTTAATAAAATCGTTTTATTTATCTCTATAAAATTTATCTTCCTAAAGTTTATTTACATTTCTCTAAACCTGTACTTTCATATCTCTACATTAGGAATGASAAAAATTTTCACAGGGTCGGGTCCGAAAAACAGGAAATGCATGTCCCGACCCTGTTCCCAATTCCATTTTTTAAATAAATAATATATATTTATTACGCTTTTTTTATTCTAAAAATAATTAAAAACAATTATAAAACCGATAATTTTTCTCGAGAACATCTCTTAGACCGAAGAACGAGGTGGAGACGGAGATTAAAAATTTTCACAAGCACAAGAACGGGGTAGAGCATCCTCACCCACACCCACACCATTGTCATCTCTATTCTACATAGAATTTTCTCTCTTTAATATTTAYTTTCAATTTTCTAACTTTTTAATAACAGAAAACTAAAAATGGTTACCAAACTTGGTTTTCTATTTTTAAAAAATAAAAAACAAAAAATGGTTATCAAGTTTTTATTTTTTAAAAATAAAAAAACCAAAAATCAGAAACTAAAAACAGAAAAACCAAAAACCAAAAACAGAAATGGTTATCAAACACGCCTAATAAATCAAAAATGTTTCAAAAGTAGCTATGCTATATTTTGGATTCTACCATATTTGCATTATTATCATTTACCCTTTTTGTTTCAATTGTGTTGCAATATTTTAATTTTTATTTTCGGTAGCACGGTGCAATATCTCAACGTTTATTTCTTCAACTCTCTGTATTTCCAGCGACTCACTATTTTTCCGACGCCTCACTGCAATTCTCTAACATTCTTCATCATTTCTAACGGCTTAGTTTATTTCGGACAGGTACAATTTTATATTTCTTGCAGCTTTTCCTTCGCATTTAATATTCTTATGTAATTAATTTCTTGATTTTGGCCGCCTTGATTAATCACATTTTTTTTTTTTAGTTTCAACAAATGTGTATTATTATATATACCAATCTCAATTGTAGTTTATATGATATATATCATATTGTATACAATACTTCTAAATATTATTATTCGATGGTTGAAAATGATCATTCAATATACACCTAAAATAATATCCCTAACAATATATTATATTTCCTCATTATTATGTACTAGAATCATCATAATTGTTCCAAAATACATACTTTTAAAAAAAAAGTGAATAAGTTATTCTTGCTATAAAACCTCGTCATATAGGTTTGAGAAGATTATATTATATATACTATAATTCTCATTCAATATATGTCCTATTAAACATTACCATCATTTTGTTTCGTAACTCATGATATGCAGTATATACCTGAAATATATCATATTAATAACTTCAAATCATTTATTTATAACTAGGTAAGTTGTCTAATATATTATTTAATATTACAATGTATATACAACATATACCTAAAATATATTCCATATTATTAACTTCGAATTATTCATAACAATATAAGTTGTCCACAAAACATATAGTGTATTCATTACAAATTATATGCAGCATACACACTCAAAATGTAATTCATGTCGGTAACTTCAAATCATTCATTACACTATATGCATGGAGTCACCTACCATTATGAAGAATGCTAGCAAAATGCAGTGAGACTAGAAAAGYAGGGAGATGCCAGAATAACAGCTAGATGTTGACATAAAATTTAGCCATAAAAAATAGGGGTGTTCATAAGTTGGGTTGAGGTAGTTTTTACACCCAATCCAATTGTTTGAGGTATAAATTTAGTCAACTCAAACAACCCTTGTGAAATAGTGAATCCAACTCAAACCAAAGATGAAATATTTGGGTTTGATTGGTTCAGGTTATTCGAGTCACTCATTCAAAATATTGTATAACAAACAAACTTAATATTAAACATTTATTAACATATTTTCTAACAGTTAATCAAGATCAGTAATTACATGTTTCTTTATATGGTAAAAAATTACGCTAACAAGACTTAAAAAGTTGTTAGATAATAAATAATCCATAAAGAATTATTGAATGAAGTAAAATTAAAATAAATATATCTCTATACAATTTATGGAAAGTAAAAGAAATAATTTTAAGAATAATAATAAGTTTCAATAACACCTATGTGAGAGTAGAATTGAGTCGGTTCTAAGAGAACTTTTCAAATTAATGACTTATGTTCTCTAAAACTCTCATGAATTCAGGATCTTGTCCRGGACCAAAATGGATACAACCGTATAGAACTCAAAGATATAAGATACGTTGTGTGATATTTGTTGTCTTAATTTATCATGAGAAGGATAGTTCCAGAGCTAGTTATCACTATTTCTTTGGTAAATTCAATAAATATTCACTAAGGAAGGTTCAAGTCCAAAAGACACCTCTCCTGATGCATAACTTATCTGTTTGCTCTCAAAGTCTTGGTCGTGTTTTGTCTGTCTCACTTTCTTTCATGTAGGGGATTGTTGGATGTTTAATATGTGAAAGAAAGTGAGAAAACCGTGAGTATACAAATTTAACATCCGGAAATTAAATTTGTGTATTAAGAATTTGAAACTTATTTTATATCTGTAACAAATTCATTATTTATTTCACAAGTTTTTTGTTTCAATTTTGTGTTATGTAACTTTATTTTGTTAAAGTTACATGTTGTTAAAGTTGAAGTTATACTTCAAATGAAAAGTTTTTCTTCATGTTGTTAAAGTTGAACTTAATTCATGTGTGAGGAGTTCATGTTTACACAACTATATATAGTTGTGATTTTCTTCATTTTGAAATATACAAGTATACCACAATTGGGTATTCTCCTCCTCTCTCAAGAATTCTCTCTTCTTTTGAGTTGTTCTTCTGGTTTATGTTGAGAGCAAGTATCTAAGAGTTCTGCCAGATTTGAGTAGTTCGAGGTTGCAGTTCTATCGGGTTAGTCGTTGTATCCTGCTGAGACGATCGCTGTAGTATGCTAGCAACTTGTGCAGAGAGAATAATTGTCTTCAAGTCAGTATTATTGAAGCATGTCTCGACTATTTTTATCAAGTTTAGGTGTTCATCAAGTTGTTCAAATTTATATTGTTTGTAGCCAGTTACGTTGTAATCTGTTTATCAGTATTACACAGTTTATATATACAACGTATATTTACCAACAATCTAAAGACAATTAACATGGCTGCAAACACTTCCACCAATGCTCCTGCGATGATGGGATTGACCATTGTCAAATCACATGCTGAAAAACCAGAGAAGTTTAAGGGAGAAAACTTTAAAAGATGGCAACAAAAGATGATCTTCTACCTCACCACCCTAAATCTTGCTCACACCGTAAAGGAGGTATGCCCTACTATTCCCCTAGAAGCAATCACTCATAAAACTGAAGTTGTCAAGCAAGCGTGGTTGCATACAAACTTTATGTGCTGCAACTACATTCTAAGTTGCATGGATGACACATTGTATA